CCCTTCCATGAATTCCATAATAATCGATGTTGTAGTGCTAGTATAAGTAGTGCAAAAGTATTTCACAATTCGTTCATGATTTAATAATTGAAAAAGTGAAATTTCATGTCGAAAATTTTCAACTTCTTGTTTTGCTTTAACATTATGGTCAATATTTCCAGTTTCAATACATTTCATAGCTAGACTTCTGCCCGTTAATTCATCTTTGCAAAGATAGACCTAAAATAGAAACTAATTTAAATCTGAATATTTTTTACAAACACTATGATTTTATTTTCATTTATTTATTTTAGCATTATTATTTATTTTGTGTATTATTTATGAGTGTTGTTATTTTTTCAGATATCAACGCTAGGGTACTATCAAAATGTTTTTATTCATCTCAGTAATTGTAATAGAAAGTTATTGTAATACGGCTTCCAAACACTGACAAAATACAAACAAAATTATTCGTAAGGTAGATTTTTTTTTTTGATAAAAGACAATTAAATATAGATTTCTTCATATTGCTGATTTGATTCGTGATTTGACTCAATTCGTAAATTAAGACCCGCTTCTATTAAAGATTCGATTCAAAACTAAAAATACCGATTCGCAGGGCCCTAGTTTCTTCATTAGATCCCAAATATTTTGTTGATAAAATGTAAATATATAGGATCAAATACATTATAACTAGGTTTAAATTTTACCTACCCAACTACAGTCGAGGAGGCTACTTTATTGGATTACAGCCCTCTCTCAACTCTTTAACTTCAAAACAAGAACGTTAAAGAACACTGCGCTGATAAACAAGTTTAGCGCCTTGCTTATGAAATGAGCGCTCTGATGGATTAGTTAAAATTTTTGAAAATATGAAACCATAAAATTGAAACCATGTAAACATTTTCATGGAATCAAAACTGGTAAACAAATATTTGAAACCAAATTAGAGTCAAACCTTTAATTTCAAAGATATGGGTAAAGCTCAGTTAAAAAAATACTTTTTTTTTAGTTTTTTTTTTAAATTATAAAAAGAAAACTTTTTATAGTTTCAAAAACAAAAACAAAAAAAAACTAACAAAATAAAAAGAGATTAAAATAGAAAAAAATAAAAACACATTAATAGTTTAAATTATTTGTGTACTGCTTTTATTTTTGTTTCTTTAGAGTGGTTGTTACATTCAGCAACAAAATTAGATAAGGCGAAGCAAAAAAAAAAAACAGTCTACAAATAAAAAGAATGATTTTCCTTTTCTTAACTTTTTTTTTTAAGAGGATAGCAAAAATATAAATTGCAATGTGTTTGTAAAATATATTTGTATAATTTTAATGTAACAACAATAATAATGTAAAAACAAGGGTTGAATTAAGTGAATGCGAATTCTGGAAAAATATCTAGTATTCAAAATTTTAGTTTACAAAACCGTGTTGCTTATTTTTAAGGGGCAAATAAACATAAATTTGTATGCGAAAAAATAAAAAATAAAACAATTAACTTATGATTACAAAAGTAATAACACTCTTGTCACTAACTGCATTAAAAAAGTAATAACACTATAATAGTGTTACTATCTTTATAACGCACTTATAACTTTTAAAATTCCTTCTTTGTTCAAGCAACATAAGTAATCCCAAATTTTAATTGAAGTAGAAAAATATCTAGAAGAAAAAAGTGGATGTTCAAATAATATTTAAAACATAAATAACTTCAAAAAAAGTGACAAACAACTTTATAAAAACGTAACATTAAAAGTTTAGCATTATGAAAAATGTAAAGTTTTTTTATAATGCTATACTTTTTATAAAATTCTCTTTTATAACGTTGTTTGTGATCTGTAAAAGTTCCTGAAGTTTTTATTAATATTTGAATATCTGCTTAATTTTTTCTAGATGCTTTTCTACTTTAATAAATGTTTGAAATTAATAATGTTGTTTGAACAAAGATTGAACTTTAAAAGTAATAAGTGCTTTATAAATGTAATAACACTATTATAGTTTTATTACTTTTATAATGCAGTTAGTGACTAAAGTGTTATTACTTTTGTAGTCGTAAGTTTATTGTTTTTGTTTTGTTTTTTGTAACTTTCTTGCTAGCAAACTTTTAATAATTTGCTCCTTGTAACCTGCAAAACTTGCAGCTTTGAATGAACTAATAATTTAAAGACCAAATAAATTACCAGAGTTTGCAAATCGCGATTGTATAATTTAACCCTTGATATATACTTGTTACATTATAATTATACAAATATATTTTAGATAATGACAGTTGATGATACATATTTTCGCATATAATCAGGGTTGCATGGTTTTAACCAAATGGTTTAAACCATTGTTTTAAACCATGGTTTAAACCAATTAAAAAAATGTTGGTTCAAACCAAATTAATATTTTTTTAAAAAGATTTGAACTTACTTGAAACAAAAACAGGGTTAAGTTCACAAATATTATAATTAAGGATATATATACGTTTATATATACTTGTATATGTGTATATATATAAATATATATATATATATATATATATATATATATATATATATATATATATATATATATACACAGATTTATATGTTTAGCAAAAGTATAAGTAGTTCTAACATTTATTAATACCACAAAAATGTCTCAAAAAACTGGACGCAAATGTGAAATGATTTGATTTAAATATAAATGAGTAACTGTTCCAGAAAGAAAGGGGTGTAGAGCAGTTTGTAATGCTTTTAGAAAAGAAATGGAAGGTCAAATTCAAAGAATGCATGAACATATAAAAAAGTGCAAGCAATCACAACCCCATGCAAATATGGAGTCAATTGAAGAACAACAACTTCATTACATTTTTCAATTTCTTCACAGAAGAAATTGAAAAATGTAATGTATTGAATGGGAAAATTTTAGCCATGTCTTTAGATGGCTGGAGTAATGTACATAATAGACCTATAGTTTGTATCTCTGTAATTACAGATAAAATTAACATTTTAGTAGAAACAATCAACACTTCTGGTTATTCACATACTCGTAAATATCTTACACAATTAGCAAGAGAAGCAATAGATTCTGTAAGATGTAAATTTGGATGCACAGTTAAAAGCTTTGTGACTGACAATGTAGCTAAAATGAAATCAATCAGACAAGTATTGTCATCTGAAAGAGATATTATCATAACTTATGGGTGTGCTGCTCATATGCTGTGTCTTTTAGCAAATGATCTTAACATTGAAAATGTGAGCAAGCATGTTACACAAATAAAATATATAAGAAATAATCATCAAGCTGGGAAATTTATTAATTGAGCGGAGGAACAAAATTGCCACTTCCTACTGAAACTCGCTGGAATTCTGTATGTGATTCACTTAAAAAATATGTCAACAACTGGAGCATCATTTTCACAATGTTTGAAAAAAATAAAGACTTAGATCCCATGATTGGTAAAAAAGTAAGTGATATACAGATAAAGTGAAACACAAAAGATTTATTAAAAATAATAAAACCATTTGCAGTAGCTCTAGATAAGATGCAAAAAGATCAAACAAAAATAAGTGACACTGTTGAAATTTTTAAAGATTTGATGAACAGTTTATCATTTTTATCAAACGAAAAAAAAAAATAATTGAATCTAGATACCTTCAGACTGTAAGTGATGCTCATTTCTTGGCAAACACACTAGATCCTAAATATTTTGAATTTAAACTTTCTGAAAGTGAAAATGAAGCTGCCATGAATTTTGCAGATAAAAAGTTCAAGAATTCGTTACCAATAATCATTCAAGTTAAAAGACAAATCTCCTCCATTCTGTAAAAGCTATTTATATAGTGAATCTGTTTTTAATAGTCACCAATAGAATGGTGGAAATGATGACAAAAACTCATTTTAAAAATCACTAATAGAATGGTGGAAATCTCTAAAAATTGTGGATTATAACATAATGGATATAGAAGATTTATTAAATGCACCAGCTTCTAGTGCTGGAATCAAAAGAATTTTTTCAACTTTTGGTCTTGTTCATTTTAAGTTAAGAAACCAATTGGGGGTAGAAAAAGCAGCAAAGCTTTTACTTTTATATAGAACATTAAACAATGATATATTGAATAATTTTGTTGAAATATAACAGTAATATTGATAAAGAATAAAGTTTACTCAAATAAAATACGTTATGCTTTTTTAAATTTAAAAGGATAAATTAATACCGCATTTTTTAGTAAAAACCTAACTTAAACCAAAAAAACCATGGTTTTTTTTTTTTTTTTTTTTTTAAAAAAAAACATTGGTTTTTGGTTTTTTTGCAACCCTGCATATAATAAAACTTGTATGTTTGTATGAGTCAGGCAAACATGAAGATGGGAGAGAGTTCCAAAGGATTGAAGTGCCGGGAAAAAAACTAGATAAATAAAAGTTTTTAGAGCATGCAGGGACAGATACAGTAAACAAATGAGACTTAGCTGAATGAAACGAGAATGAATTTTAGTTAATGGAACTAGAGATGATACATTATGTAAAAACGATAAATTATTAAAAAAATAAACTGATATTTATACTAATTCTGATTGTGGAAAAAGCCTATTCTGATACCAATGCTGATTAATCGGTCCATCACTAATAAATATATATTATGGGCTATTTTCAACAGTATTTTAAATAAAAAATTGAGAACCTTTTTTTTTTTTTTATTACAATTTTTACGGTAAACATTTTTTTTTTTTTTTTATAAGCCTATATTGGGTAATAATTTTGCTGAACTTTGCCAGGCCGGTGGGCCTGGTGGTGTACCGCTTCCCAAATTTTTTTTCCTGGAATAGCCCTTGTATATATATATATATATATATATATATATATATATATATATATATATATATATATACATGCAAATAATTTCAAATGTATTCTACAAAATGGAGTGCTAAATGTTCATAAAAGAACAGATAAATAATAAATTAGTAGAAAATCACTTAATAAACTTTTTGCATATATGTATGTTAGGGCAGAGCTCGAAATAACAAACTTTTTTGTTCCGGACATTTTGTTCAATAAATATTCAAGTTTGGCGGACATGGCCGATAAAACCAAAAAAAAATGTGTCTGAACGCCATTCTTGACCACGCATAAAATATTTGGTTTTTACAACGTTGACATGGCAGTTTGATTTATAATATAAGGCATTTCAAAAATGCGCTAAAAATAAAAAGAAAATTTAAAAGTTAACTAATCTAAAAAAAAATCTTAAAGAAAAACAAAAAATCTAAGCTCTAAAAACTAAAGTTTGAAAAGGAAAGTTTATTTGTATTACGTTTATTTAAAAACTATTATGCTATGCGAAACATTTTGTAACATACTATAATTATTAATAACTTAATACATAAATTATTAGGTTTACTTGTTACTTTATTAAACAAAGTAACAAATAAACTTTAATGATTGTTTACAATAAACCTATTTATTTCAATTATAAAGGAATATTATACGTAATTACATTTGTATAAATTTTAATTTAATAATAAATTTTTTAATAAATCTTTTCAAACTAATTCTATGATTATTTTTATAAACACTTTTAATAGCAAAAAACTTAAGCGCCATAATAGACGTTACATAACAAAACTCAAATTTTATTGTGTAATAAACATTACTGGTTTCTATGGTTTCTATAAGCATTAAAAAAACTATTATGTTGAAGTTTTTATAAAATAAATTTAAAAGGAGTTTTAAAAGCTAAAATATTTGTTTAAAACTTATAATAATCAACCACGAACAAAAAGAAAATAAATACTAAAATGTAAATTTAAATTAATAATTAATAGCAACATTTCAATATAAATGATAAAAACTGCTTAATTAAAAAAAATTAATGCTTAGGCATCTTTTTAAAAAATGAATTAACTCAAAAAAAAAAAATTATTATTACAGTTGTGTTTTCAACTTCATTTTCTGCTGTTTACAAAAAATAAAATTTATATACAATACTTTATTTATTAATAATTTTGGAACAACTAAAATGGTTATAAAAATAATGCACACAAAATATGGGTCAGACAAAATGACCAATAGACATTGTTTTTTTACCAGACAAGTGACAGACTTGTCTAGTAAAAAAACAATGTCCAATATCCGGCAGCAATTTGGAGCCCTGTATTAGGGTGATGCAAAATTTTTAGTTCAAAACTTTGGTTACCCTAAAACTTGCACTTGTTCTATATGACAATAGTATTTATTGGGCAAAATTTGAAGCAAATTGGATAACATTTAGGGGTTGCCAAATTTTGTCAGATTTTAGATGTAAGGTGAAAAAAAAAATTTTTAATTTAAAATTTTATTATTTATTTTTTATGTCATTGTTTATTGCTTAAAAACAAAACTGCTAAATAATCATTTAGTATAAAATTTTTTGTGTACTACATACTACTATCATGCACTAGGCAATCAAAAATCAATTATTTATCATCAACAGTCATTTTTATAAGGACAGACTTTGATGCATCTAGAAATTTCTTCCGATGAAGATCAATCAATTAAAGAAGAAACTGCTTTTGGTTTTCATCTTTCTTAATGCTTGAGTTAAAGGATGTTATAAATGCTATGCCTTGTTCTGTTCAATCGCTGATGATCTTTGGACCATTTGACAAACTTTGTGCTTCATTTCAAGATATGTTGAATCCATTTTGCACTCCAAAGATTTTTTCATTAAAATTGATTCAGTATTTTCTTGCCACAAATGCCACAAAAAGTCTTATGTTTGTTATTACTTTTTTTCCTTGCAGTAACAAATTGATCCTGAAACAAATATATATACTTTTAGACAATAAATAGCATTGGCCATCCAATGTACATCGTGTTTTGTACCTGGAGCCCAAAACATTACATTAAATTCTGATGTTGTAGTTGATCCTAAATAAGGCACAAATTCAAGAGTTCTAAGTAATCATCCATGGGTTGTTGACCCAGGGATGATTACTTAGAAGGAATTACAGGAATTGCTTCACAATTGTATACTAACATTTCTTTGACGGAGTTTGATAGGAAAATCACAGTTGAAATATTCTTCATTCCCTGTGGAGAACAGCTTTGTCAATTGCTGGCTATTGTTTCTGAAAACAGTTAAAAAGTTCCATTTGAGATCCTCCACTAGTTCAAAATGCACTTGCAAAAATGGTGGAAAACATGACTTCAAACACACAGTGCCTGCATGCATATAAGATTATGGTTAAGATTCTGCTCCATTACTGTGCAGGCCCATTACAGTGTTTAACCCAGTGTTGAAGTAGAGTCAAAATCAGTCCCTGAACATCTTAATTACTAGGCATTTTAAAAATTAGACGAAGTACAGGTGAGCAACAAGCATTAGCTAGTTGCTCACCTGTACCTCGTCTAATTTTTAAAACGCCTAGTAATTTTTCCATCCCTTCACCAGTCACAACGATGGCAATTCTATACACTTCAGGTAAGAGCTTTTCATCCAAATGCAAAAGAATCAAACTATTAGGAGAGAAGTTGACCTTGTCAGCTGTAGTCACTGCTTTATGAATCAATCGCCTTGTTTTGTGGATTGCGCTGTACAACAATTATAAATCTTTTACTGAGTGACCAAGAACCTGGTCATTCCAACAATGAAAAGTGCACGGCGACCAGAAATAATAACCCAATCATGAGATGATACAACATTATCTGATAAAACTTTTATCTTCTTTTTTTGTTGAACCACTTGTGCTGGAAGTGGAAGGCACCTGATATTCATCATCATCTATGGAACTAGAGCTACTTGCACTCACTATGTCAACTGCTGATGAAGGAACAAGTTCAGTTTTATCCATCAACTCAGCTTTACTGCTTTGATGCCTCATTTTTATTTTAGTTTCAAAAACTTGTTTCTGTGCTTCCATAACTGTTAAACTCCGATTAATTCCTTTCTTACTACAACTTAATGGATTTTCTTGCTGATGTTTTATCTTCATCGTTTAAAACTTCTGATGCATTCTTAGTTATATCAAAAAGTTCTTTAAAAAAATTCCTTTTTCCAATTAACAGCTGTTCAATTTTGATCGTTCAGTAATTTTTCAGCAGAAGATAATGGTTATAAAGTTTTTATAACTTTTTTTTCTGCATTATCGATTCTTTAAGTTGGTATTCTTTCTTTCTCCCATATAACAAGAACTGCTTCAATTGCCTAAACACTTTTTTTCACTTTTTGTTTCTCTTCTAAATGGTGGAAAAGCATCCTTCGAAGAACATCCCCTCTTGAAGGAAGGTTGGCAGTCAATAGAATTTGTGTAGGTTTACCAACCAGCCACACCTCAGCATATGACCTAGTGGTTGCCTTATTATTAATTTCTAAATTGTACAAAAAGCAACATGTTAACAAAAATTACACAGAGGGTTAAATGGTATTAGTCAAACTGGCTGGTTCAGTTAATAATATGTATAATTATATATAATAAAACTTGTAAAATGTAGATTATTCTTACTGGTTTAGAAATACATGTTTTTTTTTTTTATAAGCATATGAAATTTTTGAAACGGGCTCAGGTATGCTTAAGCAAAAAGTTAAAAGAGGCTCAAAAATATGCTTAAACTTAAGCAAATTTATAATAAAATATGCTTATTTCAATACTTTTTAAAAATGCGTGCGTTACTAAAGGTTAATGGTTATAAGAAAAATAAAAAGTCGACTTTAGTACAGTATAATAAAAAATAAAAAATATATACTATATACAAATGTTATCAATGAAATAATAAAAAAAATAAAATTTGAAATAAATGAAATAATAAAATAAATAAAATTTTTTTAAATGGTTTATCGAGGCTCAGGAATATGCTTACATATGCTTATTTTTTTTCCAAATCTGAGCCTTTATATGCTTATAAACATTATGCTTATAAAAAAAAAACATGTATATAATTTATATTATCTGAAATTTCTAATCATTATTAGTAAATTAGTATATTAATATTCTTGCAATACAATTACTAACATTTGGTTAATTTATCTTATAAAACATGGCAACCCTTAAAATTGCTTCTATTAGTCTAATTATTGGTACACGTGATCATAGGTGATAAAAGAACACAGGCAATCTCGAGGAGAATGTTTTTTGTGACATTAATTGTTTTCTATTACAATGTCAATCACCCAATATATATACGTTTTGTTAAAAGTCTGATAGATGATTTTCTACTAATTTATTATTATTCTGTTCTTTTATGAACACTCAGCACTCTATTTTCTATTTTTAATGTTGTATTAATATGTTAATAGAAATAAATACAAATATTGTATTGATTTTCTTAATATATTTATGCTTTAAATTCTAAAACTTTTTTTAAACACACATGTATTATAATCTTTTTATTAAAACATTAAAATCTCTTTTCATAAACAGTGTTTGTTTAAATTTGAATAACGTAACAAAAAAATGATTTTTCTTAAAACTTGAATAAATGAAGTTTCGTTTATTCAGGTTTTAATTAAGAATACCTTTTCTTATAATTACTCACTCTGTCAATTGGAGCTATTGCAGTTTGATTTTTAAACTTTTAAAATTGAAAAAAAAAAATTTCAAAACAAAAAAGAGTTATAAATAAATTTTTATATATACAAGTAGGAAGAAATGCAAAACAAAATAACATTTATAAAATAATCAAATTAATAAAATAAAAACTAAAATAATCAAGTTTAAATAAAATAGCAATCAAATTATAAACTAAAATAGAGTTTGGTCAAATGCAATATACTTTTTAACTATTTTATAGAAAACGTTACAATGCTTGAATAAATATCAGAAAAACAACTGTTGCAGTTTGATGATCAATTTATTTCTCTGATGTATTTATAACATATTAAAAAATATTAGAGTGTAACCAACAAAACCATAACTAAAAACTTTTATCATATTAATATTATAATAATAATTTTATTTTCTCCTTCTTAATTTAAATATCATGAAAGCCTGCAAAAATGCAGATCCTCCATTCATTATAAAACTACACACCTGCCAGGTCAGTTTTATATAGCCATTTCATCACTTGTGCAGTAGCATCGCATAGCAATCGCAAATAGCATTTGCCACTTGTTTAAGAGTGATCAATATAATGTAATTTATTAACAAAATAAATCAATACTAATATATTTTGTGTTAGATTATATACAACAATACAACATTAATGATGGAACTTAAAGTTTCATGCCTATCCCCAATCATTAACCCTAAATATTCTTTAAATCAAGGTAAAAACCCATAAAAAAATGCAAAATACAGAAAAAAACAAAACAGAAGAATGAGTTATGATGTCAAAACAAAATAAATTGAAGTAGAAAATTGGTTAACAACCTGTGCAAATTAGTTGAGAAGAAATTTGTTTTTATGTCTTTACTTAGATATTATTTCACTTTTTTTATTTAACAGATTTGGATTTTTGAAGAAAAGAACTTTATTAATGCATAATTTACAGGATTTTGTGGCAGGGTTATAAACATTTTCAAAACCAAAAATTCTGAATGTTTTTAAAAACATAATCAACTCCCAACGGAGTGCTGCTACATTGGCTGAGAGTTTGGTTGGTCCATCAAGTAATAAAAACAAAAATTCCGGTCTTGCATTTTAATTTTTTATTTATGTCAACAAAACCTTTCGACAACCATGCAAGAGTCAACTATAAGTCAACCATTGTTGGTTTCAATTCAACAACAAGGTCGTTTAAATTATGTTATGTTCATGCAAACAAGACTTATGATGATTTTTAAGACTGGAATTGGACAGATAAAACTAAAATTAATATGTTTCGATAATAGATATAAGATATAATTGGAGAATAATTCACCATTAAGTGCTTGAGATTATACACTGTTAAATAAAGCAGAGGAAAGCTTGAGTTTTGGGTATGTTTCTGTGCTTGTGGAGTTAGTGAATTAGTGAAAATTTATAGAATTAATGAATTTTTTTTTTTAAATTAAAAGATTTCAAAAAACAAATTTTTGAAATCTTTAATTTTTTCAATGGAAAATAATTTAATTTGAATGTTCAAATTAAGTAAAACTTTGACTTTATAGCGGGACAAAAAAAACATATAATTTGATAAAAATTGGTAGCATATGGCTACACCAAACTCTGGATAAAATTATAGTTGGATTGGTTTACTGGTTAAGAATTCGCAGCAGTTTTAGTTTATATTTTGTTGGTTTTTTGGTTATTAGACCTCAAAACATTTCTGATTACTGTGATATTCAATCATTATTTTTTAGATTAAAGGTTATTTGAATGTTCTACTATGTAATATTAACAATTTTTATTATAATTGTTTTATTGCTCTATGTACCATATCAGTGCAAAACCTGGCAAAAGGACTATCATTTTGTAAAACAAAACAAAAAAAAGTTTCGGGTAAAACAATTTATATCGGCAATACATTTGAAAATGAAGTGAAAAAATAGCTATATAAACCCAATTTTTACATAATATTACCATCAAATAGCATCTGATTAAATTCTAAGATATGGTCTTTGATTTCTTCAAAAGATTTATTCAAAATGTTTTTTCTGCTTAATGTACTCTTTTAGTCATTCTTTAATATTTTTACATGCAATATTAAAATTTATAATTACTAACAGCAGTTAAGGATTTAAATGGTTCATTATAAACTGTAAGTTATGATTTCTTACTTTGGATGGTTATTGTTTTGTTTATACTTTGACTGATGTTTATAAAAGTCTTGTTGTTTGTTCAGTTTGTTCACTATAGAGCTATAAGGAAGATCTTTTGCGACTGATAAAATTTTTGATGTGGTAGAAGACTGTGAATTTTGAGTTTTACACTTGCACCAGTTATCATTAAGTAACACTTTTTGAAATTTTCAATTTCAGCAAAATCTGGCCAAAGGATTATTCCAAAGTACCCTTTTATAATTAAATTAAAACTTTTGAATGCTTCAATTAGGTAAAAAATGTTGGGAGCATAGTTTGTATCAGCAAGTTGTTAGAGCACATCCTCATTTTAAAGAAGCTTCCTGACCTCATTTTCCTTGAACTGGCCCCCATGATACGAGCTCAGTTGAATGAAGGGGGCAGCTGGCTACTTGACAGCTTCTATCCAAGCAGTTTTAAGTATTTGGAAAAGATGATTGACAACTCCTATAGGATTAGATGCAATTCCATCGGTGGAATTGTTTCTAAAATCAGAATACTTTCAGGCCCACTGATGATTGGCTTTTGAATGACATTGCAAAACAAACTTTGCACCACCAACAACCCTGCCAGATTGCTGAAAGGACCAAAGGCTAGATTTGAACCAGCCTAATGTTTGCAAGTTTCCAGATTTGGCATGACACTTAGATCTGACATCACATCATGTACAAACTTGAATGAGTTCGAAGACAACAAATTATATTTTCAACCTTCATATCATAAGCTAAAATATGTTAAACTCCATTTGCAATCAGTGACCAGATTTGCATAATGTTGGAGTGGGTTTCTGGCAAATCTTCTGATAATGTAACAAGAATTTGTCTCATTTAAATCCATTATCTTTGCCAGTCCTGAGTGAGAGGTTGTTTTTGAGGTGTTGAGCTGGTATCAACTTTTAACGCAGTATTAACAATGCTTAGACAAAACTGGAGAAAACCTTTACCACCATTAATTTCAAGCTTAACTTAAATATACACCAGAAATTTTGCAAGATTGAACAACATGATTTACAAGACTTAATAAATCATTGCAGTGAGCAACAACCCAAACTGTACCTGAATCTGCTTTTCTGTAGGTAAGTTTAAAGTCACAGTCACGTCACAGCAGGTGAGGAAATCACTCAAGTGTTTACCTGGTCTTAAGAAATCCTTATAAAATTTGGCTCGACCATCTTGCTGCTTGATGTTTGGCTCACAGTTCTGACAAGTTTCTTTGTTCCATTTATTTGATATTTGATAGTACATTTACAAGAGCTTAAGTTTGTTTAAATATTTACCTGGGGTAATTGTAAGTAGAGGCCCACCAGATGCTTTAGCAAGTTGAATAGTTCCTTCAGGTATCACTTGAAATGTAATTTGTTTGGAAATGCAATTTGTTTGCTACTGTTAGACAGTATTGCTGCCCTTCAAATTCGACAACTTGATATTTCCATAATGCTTCTTCAACACGAATCTGCAAGTATGCTTTTTTTAAATCGATTATCTTAAGATTTTCTCCTAACTTTCTCCAGTTGTGAAGTTTGGTACTGCAAACAATGCCATCTGCAATATGACTGGATACAAATTGATTCAGCTCCCAGTAGTCCATCACCAGATGTACTTTTAATTTGTTTCGTTAAATTACTGACATCAACGGAATAATGCCATTACATTTCTCTTCAAACGGTTACAGCAATCCCTGTGCTATCCATTCACTTATTTCCATTGCGTACTCACTTTTAACGCCTTCAGAGATGTGATAGTTTGGAATTTTGTTTGTTAAAGTTGGTGGTTCCATAAGCCATTTCCAAGACACGCTCCAGCTGCCATTTTTGAATTCTGCTATAAAGTCTTTATCAATTAGCTTTTGAACAGTAAGCATGGATACTTCATTCGTTTTTCCCCAACTTGGACACCTCCGAGCAGTCGCATTGCGTCCATACCAAGTAGCATTTGATATTCGGGAACAATGTTGGCAACCAGGCATTCCAACTCAATGGTGGTATCATTTATAGAAAGATTAACAACAGTCTGGTATTGTACTTCAATTGACTTTCCATTCATCATAACAACCTTTTTGCTTGCATGTTTGACATTTTTTGGGTTTACAATATCCCGACGTAAAATTGATTTGGAGCATCCAGTATGTAACAATGCCTTTATTTTTCTTCCATTGACATATACACGGAGAGTTGGCGGTTTTAAATTTTGTGGGAAGCCGCTCGCACAAAAACAGGTGGCTTCCCTTCTATGTTTTTTGAGTTCGTACACCTTTTATAGCAGAACTGGGCCAGGTGATTGTCCATTCAACACACAAAGCACCTCTTCTTCTCAATCTCTTTGCTGCAATTTTGACTGATATGTCCATCCTCACCGCAACGGTAGCACGTTATGGTCTTTTTTCTGCGTCTTTTATGAACTTGTCTTGAACTAATGGGAACCGGATTCAGGCAACTGACAAAGCATGATTCTTTGCGACGTAAAATTACTTCTGGATTTTTCAGCGATCTGGCACAGCAACATTGTTGATATTGAGCATGCAGTTTGCAGCTGTTTTCTTGCTTTGTCAGGTAATCCAAGAATAAATGCGCACCTTATCCACTCTTCGCTTACGTGAGATGATATTAGCTTGCTCGGTCTTGTTAATTCTGCAAGATATACGTCAACGGACGCATTCTCTTTAAGATGGCGATTTACGAACTCTTTGTATGCTGTTAGCGGAGAAGCAGAGAAGGCAGTAGTCAGTGCAGTTTTCACTTCATTGTAGTCTTCTTTTATCTCATCACTTAGGCCTTGATAAACGGCAAACGCCCCACCAGAAAGAAATAAGGGAAGCACCACATGCAGCTCGTCAACTTTTTGAAGTTTTGCTACCAGTTCCAATTTCTGTATCCATTCTGAAAAATCACCCGAACCATCGTATTGTGATACCAGATCCACAAACTTTATAACGATACTCATTGCCGAAAAAAGTTTGTAAAAATAAATTATATTTGTTTTTTCTTACTGTCTAAATATTTTTAGTCAATATATATACATTTGCAAATACCCCCGAGAGTATAATAAACAGTATAAACATTATGTACAATATAATATATGACGCGCCCACAACATTCCTTCTGACGCAACACGTTAATAGTTTATATAAAATACAATTGTTTACACTAATTACAAAAATGATTAAATTTTTTTTTTGCTTTTTTTCATTAATGTAATTAAAAAATTACATAATACTTAATTAAAGCAATATTTTAAAAGTGCTAGATGTTTTTTACTATTTTTGTTGATGTAAAATAATAAAATACAAACTAACCTAAAAAACATTGAATTTAGCATTTTTTTTTCAAATTGTATATT